GTCATCTCAGGCGATTCTCGCAGGGAGCAGAGACTTCCCAATCGGTCAGAGAGAGTCGGGACTTTTTTTTTTAAAAGAGGAGTCCTTACCTCTTAGTAATGTAAGCGCTGACCTTCTCTCCTGCCAATGGGAAGTTCTGCGCCTTCTGGAGCATCCGCCAACTACGCCAAATTTGTTGTAACAGAAGGAATAAGGTTCTTAATCCCAAGATGAAGTAAAACAGATGAGTTTATTGCATGCAAGGAACAATAAAGCCGAAGTCTTGTTTCCCGCAAGAAACAACAAAACCGAAGTATTGTTCGATGTGCCGGTACAAACTTTTAGGTTATATAGTCCTTGCTTGCTGCTTCAGACGTCATTCGATGTTATGGTAAGGGGGGGGCTCATGGTATTTGACCAGTTAAAAGGCCCTGGCCAAATGGTCAGTTTAAGATTATGCCCCCAGGGGGTTCCTTGCTCGCATCTGGAATCCTTATCAGTTAACCCCCTTTCCTGCCATAAACCCCTGTTGCTTAGAAGTCTAATTTTCAGGCAGAACTGACTTATTAACCCTTTTAACATCTTGTGTCTTACTTCAGTGTCAAACAGTCTGTAGCTGTGGTGTGTGGTGTCTTTGATGATGCTTAGAGCTTTCCTTAAGCACTGTCTGTCATAAATGTCCTGGAAGGATGGGAGAGCAACCCCGGTGATGGACTGGGCAGTTTTCAACACCAGCTGTAGGGCTTTGCAGTCAGCAATACTGCAGTTGCCATAGCACACTGTGATGCAATCTGTCAGTGTGCTTCAATACAGTGTGCTGTATTGCATCTGTAAACGTTAGTGAGGATCTGGGGATGTATCTTAGCCTTCTTCAACTGTCTTAGGAAGAAGAGGCGCTGTTGTGCTTTCTTAATCTGACAGGTGGCGTTGAAAGACCCTTTTCACTTCAGTCCCGTTGATGTGGATAGGGGCATGATAGTTTTGCAGTTTTCTGAAATCAACGATCAGCTCCTTGGTTTTGCTAATAATAATAATAATAATAGTAACTGGTTATAATTGCTTACACTTATATACCGCTTTTCTGGACACTCCACTCAAAGCGCTTTACAGGTAATGGGGACTCCCCTCCACCACCACCAATGTGCAGCATCCACCTGGATGATGCGACAGCAGCCATAGTGCACCAGAACGCTCACCACACATCAGCTATCAGTGGGGAGGAGAGCAGAGTAATGTAGCCAATTCATAGAGGGGGATTATTAGGAGGCCATGATTGGTAAGGGCCAATGGGAAATTTGGCCAGGACGCCAGGGTTACACCCCTACTCTTTTTGAGAAACACCCTGGGATTTTTAATGACCACAGAGAGTCAGGACCTCGGTTTTACGTCTCATCCGAAGGATGGCTCTTGTTTACAGTATAGTGTCCCCATCTAATGTTGAGGGTGAGACTGTTGTCTTCACACCATGCTATAAGGAGATTGATGTCCTCCCTGTAGGCTCTCTAATCATTGTCTGTGATCAGACCTACATCTGTGGTGTCATTGGCAAACTTGATGATTTTACAGTCTTACAGTCTTGGGTGTAGAGGGAGTAGAGCAATGGGCTAAGTACACACCTACACACTCCTGGTGTGTTTCAGAGGACGTGGTCCTATAAGGGTTGGTGTGCTGATTATCACTACATCAGAATACCTGTTTTATAACTACTCCTGGTGTTTCGGGATCCCAGGACACATGGTTTGGGTCTTGTATTCAAAAGTGCTTACAACAGTGTCTAAGGTTTATTCACGTGTTCTATTCTCTCAGAATATGTACATGATTGATTTGAAGTTCAGGTTACCCTCCAACACCATATGAGTGACATAACCACATAGTAAAAGATATTACAGTAAGTCACATAACCGCTAAATGACTGGATATCTCACATTTAATATCATATCAAAATAATTTTATTTCTACATTTTATTAAACAATCAAATGTAGGAAATAATGTGTTATTTTCTTATATTTTGACATGCCTTCCAAGGTAATATTAGTTTTTTTTATTTTACCACGTGGTTGTCAGTAAAATGTTATCTGTGATTCTTCACTTGAATTATAATTTGAATTATTATAATGTGTCTTATAATCTTGTTCTGACAATATTCTGTGCATGATGTTGTAAAGGAGCCTATATCCTCAAGTATCTGTGAGCAGCTGCCTTGATATTTTCATTCCTTAAGCTGTAAATAATAGGGTTAACCAATGGAGTGAGAAAATAGTACACTGCACCAATGACGATGTGCCCATCAGGAGGAATACTTTTCACTCTTAATCCAATATACACCAGAGTACCAGAAGCATAGTACAGGAAGACCAAAACTATGTGTGAAGAGCACATTGAGAAGGCCTTCTTACGGCTCTCCACAGTTTTCATCTTTACCACTAACCATACAATTCTGAAGTAAGACCACAGGACAAATGGAACAGGAATGTAAACTACAACCATGGCAAGACTCAAAGCAAGGTTCAACTGTGCTGTGACATCACCACAAGCTAAAGACATTACAGTGGGGTAGTCACAAACAATGTGCAGGATGAGGTTTGAGCTACAAAATGGCAAAGTGCTTGCCAGTACGACAGATGTTAAGGGAATGATGAATCCCATAAACCAGACTGAGGACATCATTGTAATACAGACCTTACTGCTCATGATGTTATTATAATGTAGAGGTTTCACTATAGCAACATAACGGTCATAAGCCATGACTGCAAGAAGGAATACTTCAACAACTGCAAATGTAGTAAAAAAATATATTTGTGCAAAACAACCTGAAAAGGATATGGTCTTATCATGACTCGAAAGAACTACTAACAACTTAGGTAGGAGAGTAACTACTGTTAGTACACCTAAGACAGCCAAGTTCCAGAGGAAGAAGTACATGGGTGTGTGGAGTCGATGATCTAGGGAAATTAACACCATGATGAGTAGATTACCCAGGAAGGTGGCCAGGAGGAGGATGAGGAAGAAGATGAAGAGAGCAGAGTTGTGCTCCTGCAGGCCTGGCAATCCCATGATGATGAACTCAGAATGCAGGGTGACATTGGTTCGTCCCATTGGTTGCAGTCTCAGCAACTATGACCGAGTGCCAAAGAACAGGATTATATTCAGTGGGTTGTTAATGGTTTTGGAAAAAGAACCATTAAATTAAATTGTAAAGATTAAGGGATTAAATATAGTTATTTTTTCAGTTTTTTAAATAGTTTATTTTGTAATATATTTTAAGTTTAAATATTGCACATGTACACCTCGCCTAAATACATTAAGACTAAATTGCACTCTTTATAGGAGAGAGTCATTGTTTTTAATTATATACAGTATATATTGGATTATTTGAGAAATATTACATTCTATGTTCATAAATGTATATTGTTCAGATAATTCAGATTTTCACCCCATTCCTATTATGGCCCATTTTGAAGAAATATAAATTATGTATAGTGTTATAACATTTGGGCATCTCATAACTGGATCTTTAAAAATAAGAAGGTCCAGAAGAATAAACAAAAGAACAAATAGGTTAAAAGTACAATTTACAGCAAAGGGAATGTTGAAAATGAACCAAAACAAAATCCTAAACTCAATTAAACAAATATTTAAATAAGTTAAATGTCAACAATAGCTGTGATATGTTGATTAGATAAAGTATTCATCCTATTTACTGTGGTAATTGCAAATAAGTTCAGATGCACAATTACATTCACATTAACACAATTAGTTCCTAATCGCTCGTCCCCGTTCCTGTGTCTGTTTGGATGGATCTCCTGGCAATGGACTTTGGACTGCTACTTGGTTTCTCCTTCTGGATTGTTTTGGACTTGTTCGCCTTCACCACATCCCCCAAGCACCGGAATAATGCCATTAAGCCCCCCTGTCAGTTATCCCATCCTGATCCTCTCATGTTTCCCTGTTGTCCTCCAGTCTCTTCTGGATTTTACCGTCTGCATCGGGTCCTAAATACGCACTACACGGGAGTCTGAACCTGCTCCTGTTATAATTCTATTCGCATAGAGGATACTGGGTAAGTAGGCTAAGTATGTTCAATTTTCACTGTCAGAGGATGCCTTAGACCACGCATCAATCTGTACCATCATAGAATAATCACAAATCACCTGCAAAAAAAAATAAAAAGGCTGAACATACTGGACTAAAATACAGACCTCCAGGTTGTGAGTAACAAAATGTATCGTTTTAGGAGTATTGGGCAGTAGCACATCAAACATAGTGATGCTGCTTCGCATTTTTCTTTTGTTTTTTCAGAAGCAGTTCATTTATTTTCTGTAAAAAATGCAGTAAATATCTGGTTTGTCTGTAATCTCCCACTTCAGGTCAAAAGTTGTCTCCAAATGGGAGCTTCAATTGCAAAAATGATTCCATTCTTCTTCAGATACAATACATTGAGAAGTACATATGAAAAGGACAGAATCTGAAACTAAAAAGCTGAAAGTGAGCAGTGGTTCCTTTCTACACCAATATTTCAAGAGATGTTTCTTTTTATTTAGTGTTTTAAATGAAACGGGTATTCATTTTACCAGAAAGATTTCAGACTGTCTCAAGAAAATAACAAACAGAACATTTCCAAACACATGTTGTTCATGTTGCTGTTGAAATCTTAAGTTTATTAGTGATCTAGCATAATTCTGATATGCTGATAAAAACTCAAGCACAATTGAGAAAATAACATACAGTTTAAATTCTTAAGACTTCCAGGACAAAGAGAAAATAAGACACAGACTTCCAAGATACTGGAACATTTTTATGATTAATATATTTCAACATATGGTAGCTTTCAAACAAAATTAATTAAAAATATAATTGAGTATTTAAATAAAAAAATACATAAATGTTAATATTTCACTATCCCATTACTGTGTGCTCTGGGTTTGAACAGAGCAGGTAAATGATGTTAGCACCAGAAAAGGTTACTTATAAAACTAATCAACAACAGTTTTTATAGTACTAGAAGATAAAGTTTGCAAACATAAAAACTTATGAAGATTAATTAGAAACATATACAGTACAGAAGATGTACTGATATTTTCCCTGCTTTTCACATACCTGAAGTCTGAGTTTGTTCTGTTTGCTCTGCCTGTTCAGGACACACTTGCTGAATGAGAACCCCTTCCTCTATTTTCAGCTGCTTTTATGGGCAGCTCTTCACAGTGACCCCAGAGGCCACTGAGTGCAGAACTCTAGCTGTAGCTCTTATTATTTCTGTCTCCAGAGAGACAGAAAGTGAACCCAAAGGACATATGGAAAACAAATAATAGTCTTTGTTACATGAAGCAACTGGGAAACGGAAATCACAATCAAATTATGTTTAGGAAACATACAGAAGTTTGACGTTTGTTAAAACTCTATTTGTAAAAGTTAGAGGAGTCAGATCGCATCTTGGATAGAGAAGCAATAAACATGGGTTTGCCCCATATTGTGATTAAGGAGGCCAACTGTCAAGGCAGACCGAGAAAAGCACAGGACTGACATTAAGTATTCAATAGAACTTCACATTATAAGCTGAACTGCTCTACAAATGGGACAAAAAGATGATGATACATTAAAACATTGGCTTTTACAAACAGCTTTAGGGTAAAACAAATGCATTATTTTTTTCTTTTAAATTTCACATTGTTAAAGTATAAAGAACCTCAGTACTAAGTGAAAGTACTTCAAATCCTCATAACATCCAGACAGGACAATTCCTTGAAAGACAGAGTTACACCTAAGAAGAACCATAGGGTCACCCTGTATTTCATTGAACACAGTCTCATTAAATGAAGGAAAAGTGCTAGCCAGGTATTATGCTTAAAATCTATTTCTGGACTTAGACTAATCAGAAACAGAAAAGTCTGACCCTTATGTCCCAGTGATGAAGCTCACTGGTGGAACTCTCAGCCTCCACATTGTGATCTCTGCACTCTGCTTTCCCTTGTCTGTGTCCTCATAAAGATTTACTTTTAAAGTCTCAATGTTTGTGTTAGTGTTCAAGGTTTTAAACTATATATTACAATTCTATGAATCTTTCAAGTTATGAAATTAAAGATCACTTTTTTCAGATCAGTGGATTTCGTAAACTGTGATGTTTAATTTTTCTAGGGAATTTAACTTATCCCTGTTTGAAGATCTGCTAAGAAACAAAAATGGTGAAAACCTCTGTGTTTGTTTAACAGAACAGCAGCCTGAATCATTTATGTGGAGACTACTGAATGCACCACAGTCAAAGTCTGTGAATAACCTTTACAGAGATTTTAAAGAAGAAGTTTATGAGTAGGTCAGACTTTAAACATTTTTCAACCTGAAGAGTGTTACCAGTAAAGCTTAAAAAATCTTGTCTGTTCTCAGTCTTAATCGGGGTTTTTCCAAACTCCTAAAAGTGTTAAGGGTGGAAAGCTGAGAGATTGTAAGAAAAAATGGAATAGTCCAGACACTGAACAATTCTAAATAAAAAAACATACAGATATAAGAAGCATGTTTATTGTCAGTGTCAGTGAAACATAGTTTTTAAATGTCATGTGTCAATAGAAATAAGTTGCATGGAGAAACTGGATCGAGTTACAGACCAAAAAATAGCTTTAAAAATGAATATAACCAATTACACAAAGAGCACACTAAATAGCTGAAAAAATACTTTAATCACAAACCCCAAAATGTCTGAAATGAATATTGAGCATTTGAGACAATCGTAATATGTAATAATATATCATATAATATACACATAATATGACATTGTGAAGCCATGGAAGTTGTGATTGCCATTGTGGACGTGAAACAGGCATGACCACCACTCCATGCATACAGTACCGTTCTTACCCTGTTGTGGAACATTTTTACTTTTTTACTTTTTATGCACTCTCTATCAAGTGTGGTGCTGTACTTGGCCCCCTTGTAAGGATAACCAGGACGTGGCGCATATACACTGAGATCTCTGGGCCCTCAGCTCATGGACTCCTGGGTTCAAAGTCTCCAACACACCCACACCTTCGTCCTATTATGATCTCCTCCAAGATCATGTGGTGAGGTTTCTTTCCATTGCTGAGTCTTTTGCTATCGGTTATCCCTGCTCACTGCACCTCATCTCTAACTCTTGCACTCTAGCTAGTCCCTTTTATGGATTAGCAGTGGAACACCTTTGACTCGGTCGATCCCATCTAACCGGACTTGCACTGCCACCTTCTATACTTTACTGGCAGGCAGATATGGCAACAAATAAGGCTACTACTCTTTGAGGCCTTACCCTGCACAGTATTGACACTGACAGTCTCGCTAGGAGCCTCACTGCTCCTAGCCACCATACAAGAAGTCTCCTGTTCCCACTCTACCCTGAAGCCTTCAGCTTCAAATGTCACACACACGGAGCCTACTGCTCTCTCACAATGACATCTACTGGTTCTCTCACAAGGAGTCAGTCCTCAGACTTCTGGATCTGCCTCCAGCCACTGATGTCACTCCATTAGAAGTATGTGAAAATGTGAAAATTGTTCTCCAGTTATCACCAGGACAGGTTTAATACTCACAATACCAAGTCTCCGGTGCCTGAGGCTCAACATGCAATTTAAAACTCACACAACCTCTCCAGCACCTCGCTCTCATGTCCTTGGCAGTGTAATTTGAAGCTGTAAGCTGTATTCTGATCTTGCATCTTACAGACCAGTTCTTTCCTACTCCTATTATTAGCTGTTTCTCACACCTGTTGCTCTCACAGCTTGAAATCAATGACTCTCACTGCCATGCCTTAGCAAGGCATCTCTGATCTTGTGTCTGCTCTGAAGTTAATTCAGGACTGACGTCCTGGCTTGGTATCAGGGAAGCAGTCAGCTAAGGTTTATGGTCACACCCCCAGCTGAATCTCCTTAACTTCCAAATTCTCTTCAGGATTGCATAGAAAAACATACAGTATCTATTGAGAGCTCTGCCTCCCTGCCCACTCCCCATATGATACTGTACCATAAAACATGAAGAAACTAGTCCATTTGCCCTTCTTCTCAAAAAGATCTCTTCACACCATAAATTTAAAAAGATAAAGGAAAAAAAAAACAATCCTAGCCTTTCTGATAAGACTTAGGTTTTGGTTGCACTTTATATTCCTCAAAATGAGACATTTCTAAAGCTAAACCTTTAATGCAGGGCATCTAATAGAGATTAGACAAATTTATAAATTTGTTGTTGTATAAACATACAAGAGTATTTGTTTTTAAAATGAGTCCTGTCAGATCAATTTTCTAAACACACTTTCAGTTATGTTTACTCAAATTAAAAGCTTTGCCATATCAAGTAAGCCATTCTGCCACCTTTCAAAACCATACCACATGTGCAGTAATTCTATAGTTGACTTATTGATGGAAAAAAAACACCAATATTCAACCCTTACACATGTATACTGCAATTATTTTATTTTGTACTGGTAGGTTATTTGCACTGGAAAGAGAGCTTCTTTTCATAATCAGCTTCATTTACAAGACATCTGCAGAGAATTGTAATTACTTTTCTGTTGAATTGAGATTATTCACTTTAAACAGAATCTCAGCAGAAAACTGCAGTTCTGATATCTACTGTGTTTGTCCACTAATGCCAATTGTAATAATCATAAGCTCTTCTGTAATTAACACAATAAAGGACGATTGTGTCATTATAAACTATTGTAAAAGAAACATGGCAGTTTGATTATATTAATAATACTACTTACATAATATATCACAGTTATGTATATAAACACAAAACGATAATTTAGTCATGTCATAATGATTTTCCTTTATCACCCTGTTTATTGCTACAGTTAAAATCTAGTTATAGATTTGACATTTTGCTGTCCTTTGTCATTCCATTTCAGCAATTTGGATCCTGATGTTCCCAGTATGATGTTGATTTTAAATATCTTCTGATTTATGGTTTATTACATTTTGGATCCTAAGCATCTACCTTGAAAACAATATATTTTCATGTTGTCCTACTGACCTAAAACCTAAAACACGAACTTTTCAGTATGTGAAATTCATTAATGTACACACGGTAAAATAAAAGTTTAAAATGCAGAGAATAAATTATCAAAATGTATTTATTCACAATAAATAACCAATAAGTGACTCGACATCTCCATTAATACAATAATACAATTTTGTTTGCACATTTTATTAAGAAATCAAAAAGGGAGTGATGTATTTTTTTCTTGGACATGCATTACAAATTTTAAAATTTGGAAATTGTAATACATGGTTGTAAGTAAAGTGTGATTATTTTTTTAATTATAAATTGAAACTAAAATAATTATGTGGCTTAATGTCTTGCATTAACACTATTCTTTGTATTGTGCTAGAAAGGGGTCTTTAGCCTCAAGTATTTGTCAGCTGCTGCCTTGATTTTTTCATTTCTTAAGCTGTAAATGATGGGGTTGACCAAAGGGGTAAGGAAATAGTACACTGCACCAATGAAGATGCGACCATCAGGAGGGATACTCTCCACTCTCAGCCCAATATACACCATGGCAGTGGACACATAGTACAGGAAGACCACAGTCACATGTGAAGAGCACATTGAGAAGGCCTTCTTACGGCTCTCCATAGTTTTCATTTTTATCACTGACCACACAATTTTGTAGTAGGTCCACAGGACAAAGAGGAAAGGAATGTAAATTACAACCATGGCAAGAAACAGTGCAAAATCCACTTGTGCTATGACATCACCACAGGCTAATGATATTACAGTGGGGTAGTCACAGACAATGTGCAGGATGAGATTTGATCCACAGTATGGCAAAGTGCTTGCCAGTACTACAGATGTTAAGGGCACAAGGAAACCCAGCACCCAAACTGAGGCCGTCATTGTAAAACAGACCTTACTGCTCATGATGGTGTTGTAATGTAGAGGTTTCACTATAGCAACATAGCGATCATAAGCCATGACTGCAACAAGGAAAACTTCAACAGCTGCAAATGAGATAAAAAAGTACATCTGTGCAAAACAGCTTGAGAAGGATATAGTCCTGTCATGACCAGAGAGCACTACTAACAATTTAGGTATAATAGTAACAGTCAATAGAACATCTATGACAGCCAAGTTCCAGAGGAAGAAGTACATGGGTGTGTGGAGCCGGTGATCCAGGGCCACTAACACCACAATGAGTAGATTACCCAAGAAAGTGGCCAGGAAGATGATGAGGAAGACGACGAAGAGAGGAATGTAGTGCTCCTGTAGTACTGGCACTCCCACAATGATGAACTCAGAGTAAAGGGTGACATTCATTCCTCCCACTGGTCAAAGTCTCAGCAGCTCCAGCTAGGAACTAGATACCAAAGATCAAGTATACATGCAGTGAGTAATTAATAGATTGGAGAAAGAGACATTAAGACATTTTAAAGAATTAGAGGTTTTATAGTGATAATAAAAATCAAATTTAAATATAATAGATCCATCTATTTCTAATAACTTGATAAATTAAATTAAATTATAAATTACTACTGATACATTCTGGAATACTGATAAGCCTCTTTTTATAGGAAAGTTTAGTTTTTAAGAAATATTACCTTCTACAGTAGATATAAAAAGTCTACACAACCTTATTGAAATTGCAGTTTTTGTGATGTTAAGTCAGGAACAGCTGATTTTTATTTGGGGTTAATCAGAATCACTTTCATTGATGGCTGGTGTATGCTACTTACCTTTGGACATGATTTTAAATGTGATTGGTTAACTCTGAACACAGCTACAGCCCCCATTATAAAAGGGTGTGCAGACGTATTCAACCAGGGTGTTGGAGGTTTTTTAATTTCAATTATTTTTCCTAATAATTATCTATTTGTTTTTCTCTTAGATTTTGTTGGTTTTAAGGTCACATTAAAGATGGAAAAATTTCTGACATGATTTATCTTGATTTCTGCCTTTACATCACAAAAACCTGCAATTTCAACAAGGGTGTATAGACTTTTTATATCCAGTGTATATGCATAAAAATACATTGTTTAGGGCATGATACTCAGAATGTATTTAGATGTTTAAAAAAAACTTCTGTGTAAATATTAATATTGAATATTTTGTTTGCATTATGAGATTTAAATGATCAAAGTAAAAGGATTAAGATACTTAATTTACTTTTGTCTGATATCAAATGTATTGTTTCACTGTTCAACAAATGTGTCTAATACATTTTTAATGCATTGCAAATATTTTAACCCCATTCAATTGGTGTCCAATTTAGAAAAAATGCAAATGGTGTATACATATTTTTAAAGAATATTTGCAATTAACTTGTGAATGCCTAAACAGAATAATTTTGAATAAAAAGTATCAATTTCAGCAAAATCAGCTATGGTATTTAGCAACTTTATTATTTCACCCCCCAAAAAAAGTTAAATTAGTTGAACAAGTACAAATCTGTTTATGAGCAATTTCCCACTTCCCAAAGATAGGAGCTTCAGTTATAAAATGAATTCATTTTCCCTAATTGTAAAACATGTATTAAGAGGGCAGTTGTCAATGATTACTCTCTTAACCAGAATTTTAAGAAGAATGTTTCTTATGATTTAGTCTTTTCAAAAACCAGACCATTTGCTAAGAAAGAACAGGTACATTTTTATTCCATGCTGAAAAGAAAAGATGACAACATTTAGGCTGTGGAGCCTTCTTCAGGTGTCAACTGAAATATTGTGCTTCTTTTCAGCATGAAATAAACATTTACCTGGTCCTTTGCAGCCTACACATGCTGACGTCGCTATTGTACCTACTTGAACCATTTGTTAAGAAGATGTCTACATTCAGCTACATCATGAGACTTACAGTACATTTTCCAAATACAATTGTATCTCACATGTTTTTGAAATACATCTTTTTTAATCAGTGATCTGCATAATACTCATATGCTGATATAAACTGCAACACATTGAGAAACTGTCTAAAATGTCTACAAAATTGTTTGTACAATGTCAAATCATTGGTACTCTCTGGAACAAACAGAAAATAAGATACATATTGAAGATCTGTAACATGTTTGTGTACTTCATATAGTTTTTAATAAATGGGATCTTTCAAACACATCAATATACACATAGCATTTTCACTATCCCTTTAATGTGAACTCCCAGTTTGAACAGAGCTAGTAAATTTTGTCAGCACCTAGAGAATTTTACACCAAAGCAACATCATGTAACCCAATGTCAGTTGTTTTGTCCAAACAAACACAAAAAGATATTACAAATGTCTTGATATTTTTCATAATTTTTCACATACCTGGAATCTTAGTTTGTTCTCTTTGCTCTGCCAGCACAGAACACATCTGCTGGACAAGAAATTCTTAGTCCAATCTCATCTGCTTTTATGTGCAGCTCTTCACATTGACCCCAGAGACTGCAGAGTGTATAGGAGTAGCTGTAGCTCTTATTAATCCAGAGAGACAATTTTATACAATATACAAGTTCCTAATTAAGCAATTTAGTCTTTGTAACATGAGGCAATCATGGAATTGAAATTGCTAAAGCAAGTTATTTGGTGAAACATAGTTGAATGTTTTTAAACTGTTTTTGTAAATGTTTGGAGGAAACAGATGACATCTGTAATCAGGAACTTTTCCAGAGCATTAAATAGAAGTTTTTCAAACAGCGTAACAAAAGAGGCCATCCAAACAAATAGAACACAGAGATAATTAGCAATAATGATACATTAAAATAAACCACTGAAATTTACTAACAACTGTATGATAAAACAAATGTGTGAATTTTCCTTTTACTATTGTTAGGCCTGTTGGAAGGGGCTATTGAGTTGTCCGAAGACTAAAAGGAAGTCATCAAACACCTAGCTAGTGTTGACATTTGTATTTCTTGAGAACTTTAAAGCAATTAGTTAAAGCAAACACCTGGTTTACCTTGTTTAAGCAAACTTTTAAATGATTAAGAGTGATCAACAGTTGAGGAACAGAGAAAAAAAAGGCATGTAGGCAGAGATAGGGACTGGGAGAGGAAAGGAAGTACACTGGAAGGACAGAAAGACAAAAGGAGCATGTGCCAGGCAAGTGGCACTTACTCAGATCAACTATAAAGTATAATATATTTATATTTAAAGTATAATATATAATATTTTTTTGTGGTTAGTGAATGAATTTTAGAATAGGGAGTTAGGTGACCAATTCACTTTGAGCATCCATATTTATATAGAAAGAGATTTAATAGTACATTGAGGAGAACATTATTGTATTTGATTTAACTTAATTGTAAGCAATTTAACTGCACATTATGTACAGTAGGTCATAATCTATTTAGTTTAGAAGTGTAGCGGCAATGCTTGTTAATAAGACAGAATTAAGCGTTGGTATACTTTCCTAAATGAGGCCCTATCTCACCCTCCATCTCTGTGGTGCAGCCACAGAGAAAGTATTCATGCAGGCTGATTTAAGATGTTTTCTATTGATAAGGGACAGCTCCCAGACGGGGATGTACTTAGCTAAGCCTGGCTATCATGATCAATGGTCATCCATTGGCGCCTATCTGTCTAGGGAGTGC